GGGGGGGTACTGGGGATGCGCTTGCCAGGCAGGCACTTATGCCACTGAGGCTATCTCCCCGGCCATGTTGGTTTTTGAGATAGGGTCTTGCTGTATAGCTTTTAGCTCCTGGTAATCCTCTTGCCTCAGCCTTCCAAGTGCTGGGGATTACAGGTGTGCACCACATTGGCTCTAATATTATTTTGAGCATTAAAAACAGGAAAGGCAGGGGCCAGGGAGATGGTTCATCCTCAGATGGTTCATCTGAGTTCAATCCCCGGTTCCGCAAAAAAAAAATAAATAAATAAATAAAAACAGGGAAGGCAGGAGGAGTGGAGGTAGGACAAGAAAAGGCTAAGGATGTGGATGTGGTAATTGCCTTTCTTCTTTACTCAGACAGACGTAAATCAGAGGTAATGGTGACTTCATCCACAAGACGCGGTATCAGCATCTCAACTTTTTCTCTCCTTTCAATCCCAGCACCCACTAGTTATTTTTAGTACAGAAAAATAAAAACAAAGACAAAACCAAAAACTGTTGGTCTTATCTTTTACTTAAGTGTATGAGGGAGCCCATAAACCTCAATCCCAAAATTGCATTTCATAGCTAGCAGTGGTCATACTCTCTCCCCCAAGATAAACATTGTTCATCTTCTCATTTGCTACATGGTTGTCGGTTTTCAGTGGGCAGAACCCAGGGACATTTTATCACTGGGCCACATTCTGTCCTAGTCAGAGATGAGGTCAAATTGCTGAGATTGGCCTTGTCTTTGTGGTCTTCCTGCCTCTGCCTTCTGAGTATCTTAGGGATTATAACTAGGCACCACCTCCCCCAGCTAGAGAAGTACTATATTTCTGTATTTTAAAAAATCACTTTAAAGGGACCAGGGACTGACTCAGCAGAATAAGTGCTTGCCTGGCAAGCACAAGGCCCCAAGTTCAAGCCCCAGTTCCGCCAAAAAAAAAAAAAAAATCACTTTAAAGAATAGGGTCTTGTTATATAGTGCAGGCCAACTTTGAACTTATTATTGTACTACCAGCCAGTCTCAAACTTTTGAGTCCACATGCTTGGCTGCAAGTACTTCTAAGACAGTATAGTTCAGGATGTCCTCTAACTCACAGGGATACTCCTGCCTCGGTCTCCCAAGTGCTGAGATTACAGGCATGTGCCACCACGTACTTTAAGATTTGACCTGCCTGACAAGGAATGTTTACTTCCCTCTTAAAAAACAAACAGGCCGAGGCCCAGGGAGATAGCTCAGTGGCATAAGCACCTGTCTGGCAAACGCAAAGTCCTGAGTTCAAGCCTTGGTGGTGGATCCAGCTCCTTTTAAGGGCCAGGAAGATAGCACAGTAGAATAAACACTTGCCTGGCAAGCACAGGGTCCCAAGTTCAATCCCTGGTACTGCAAAACACCCCCCCCCCAGGCCAACCAGATAGCTCAGAGGATTAAACCACCTGCTGTGGCACACACCCTATACCAGCTCTCACGAGCCTGAAAATAGGGGGATCACTACAACTCCGATCTGTGTAGTGAGACCTTGTACTAAATAAAAAAAACAAACTTAGAAAATCTGAAATCCCAAGTGTATATTGCTCTCTGGGAGGCTGAGGCAGGAAGATTATAAATTTGAGCCTAGCTCCAGCAATTTAAGACCATCTCAAAATTAAAAAATGAAGGGTTGGGCCCCCTTAACCTTTTACATCCCTAGTCTGACCCTCATGTAGCTCATGAAGGCCCTTGGTTTATTTTTATTTTTTTGGCGGAAATGGGGATTGAACACAGAGCCTTGCACTTGCCAGGGAAGTGCTTATTCTACTGAGCTATCTCCCTGGCTCGGCCCTTGATTTAATCCCCAGCACAATACCCAAAACAAAAAAGAAACCACCAACAGAGTACAGGAAGGATCTGAACCACTGAATGTTTCCTCCTGGCCTTGATGCTTGGCCCTCTTCTGAAGAAGCAAAAGTTGCTACAAAATCCCATCTCAGCCTTTCTTTTTTTACCATGTGCAGAACGGTACTTGTGGAATGTGCATATTGCACTAAGCAGCCGCATTTCCAGGTAACAATTCAGACAGCAGCCATTCAAGCTGTGTCCACCTTTTAATCCATTGCAACTTGAAATTATTACAACTCATTTGCTTACATTTTTTATTTGAAAAATTATTTAAAAGTCCAACAAATTCTTAATATAAATTATGACTCTCAACCCCATGTATGTTAGAGAAGGTGGCTCGAGGCAAGAGAGCACCAAAGAATAGATATTAGGTGAGGCTGGAGAGAGGAGTTCCACCTTTCTGCCTTACCCCGTCCCCTTTTGCATCCCCAGTCTACCCTCAGCTGCTAACTCCTAGGGCAACAAGGTGGGCCATTTTCATTAGAGCAACTAACTTGACCGAACTGAGAGTAATTGGGAATGCAGACCCTGAAAACTGTGCAATGACATTTGAAAAACTTCATTACTAGAGATGGGAGCAAAACAGATAGCTGGATGGAATAAGCAGAGTGGATCCAACTCCACGGTTCTGACTCTGCCAGGGCCGAGACCCCAGCATTTCTGCCGCAGAGCGGGCAGGGGCTCATCTGTCTTTGTTCTGCCTTCCTAATCACCCTGAAAAGAAAGGGCCAGAACAAAGAACACCTGAGAAAACAAAGTGCCTAAAGACCCTGGTCCTCCATTGCTTTCCCATCCAGAGCACACTGCAGCTAGCTGGGGGTGGGTCCTGATCTTCAGACAAAACTCCCTGAGTCTTATTTGTGTCTGGTTCTGCGGCTGGGGAACAGAGGAACAGAGCTGAGCGCTTGGGGAGGGGAACAAGGGCGTGCATCTCTGCTGCTTTTACTTGCCCTTTCTCCAACCCCAGTACAGCCTGTTCCTGTCTCCACACTGCAAGGAAGAAGTGTAGTACATGTCCACCGTGGAGACTTGAAGCCACACGGCAAAAGAACACACGGAATACAGATTATATGTTTTCCTGAGCTTACAACAGTCCTAGTCCATCCAAAAGTGCCTTGACTTCAGAGCTGGGATTTCTCAGCCTTGGGTAATTTTGCCCCTAGGAAACATTTGGCAGTTTCTGAAAGTATTTTTGGTTGCCAAAACTAGAATGGGCCAGAGATGCTGCTAAACATCTAATCACAAAACAGCCCTCTGGTATACAGAACTGTCCAGCCCACAAGGGCAAACATGTCTTATTGAGATGCCTTGCTCTGCCTCTCCTCACTCCTGTGCTTTAAGGGTCTTACACACCCAGATGGTAGTTTTCAACCTATTTACCTCACCATGGTCAGGAAGTGCACCTTGATGTAACTCCTCTTTTTGCTCTCTGGCTTTCTCTTCAGACCCCTCTTACATCTCTCACCTGGGCCAGCAGGGAGGTTGGCAGAGATTGGGCCAGATCCCCCAAGACTTAAATGGAATGTTGACAATTAAGATCCACCACAACTCTTGCTCAATGGGAAACAGTAATAGGGACAGAGTTAAAAGATGGAAAAGCTGGGTGGGGTAATTAATCATCTTAAATTAAAATTTTAGTTAAAAGAAAAAAGGACTGCTACTGCGAAGCTAGTAATGCTACAGAAACAGGATTAGAGAAAGACCCTGGTGTCAGCAGAGAGTGAATGAGGGGATATGAGTTGAAGGTCTGCAGTCTGAAGAGAGTGGACTGGGCAGTGTTACCCTCCAAGCCCCTGCTTGATGTCTGCTTTGGGTCATCACAGGAGGAAAGGGAAAGGCAAGGAGGTAGAGAGCTTCTCAGAAAAGCCAGCTTTGGCATTCTCACCTACCTACTCTACCCCTTTTAAGGAGTTCCAGGCTAAGGGTTGAAAAACAGTCAGCACCCAGACCATCATTTAGGAGAAGGAAACTCATCCCTGATTCCCAAAGAACTCCTCTCTCAGATCTTGGGTGTCCACAGTGTCTGCTGAGCTCCTCTGGCCAGCCAGCGGCCACTTGGTCAATCCTGCTGCCTTGACCCATCTCCAGGAGGGGTGACAGCCAGAGAGAGGAGAAGGAGTCCAGCCCCCACACCTCAGAGGCACTGTTAGGCGGAGGGGAAAAGAGGGACCCTTGGATTCTACAAGTCCTAGCAGGGATCAGGCAAGGGCAGCATTTCTTCTGGGCTGGACAGAGCTGGAACTTCAAGATGGCAGAACCTGAATTAAAAAATGCAGACAAAAAACCAAGCATTTTTAAAAGATGATTTGCTTCAAACAACAAACACAAGACTAGGGAGAAGCCACTACATGGTGCAGACCTCCTCTCTATTTCTGTGTAGACAGCCACCCCTGTGCCTTTTTCTTTTCTCAAGTTTGAATGAACTATGTCTTTTAATCTTTTAATTATTTTATTTATACGGGGTCACACTACGCAGCTCAGACTTGAAGTGATCCTCCTGCCTCAGCCTTCCCAGTGCTGAGATTACAGGCATGTGCCACCGTACCCAGTTTCAGTGGCTAGCACAGCAGGAGGTACTGGGGATCAAACCCAGGTCCTTGTGTTTGCCAGGCAGGTGCTCAGAACACTGAGCTCTCCCCATTCCCCTCTGTGCCTTTCTGATGGAGCCAGTCCACTTCCTTCCTCAGCCTTCCAAGGGCCAGGATTGTAATCCCAGGCTAAGCTTGTACTCCCAGCCACACCTGGCTGAAACCCACTTCTGTACCCTCCCTTAACTCTTCCCCTTCTCCCCTGCCCTCCCCCCATTTCCCATTCTGGCATCAGAGGACCAGGGTTCTGAAGCAGGCCAGCAGGACTCACCCGCATGGGCACGAGGTCACTCACCATTTATTTCTATGGGAGCTATAAGCCCCTAGAATTACTCCAAGGCCTGTCACGGTTTCCCTTGGACCTCATCTGTTCCTGAACTGCACCTGTCTGTTGAAAAGCATATGTGAGACATTTGTACCTGGCAGCACATGCCTATAATACTAGCACTCTGGGAGGCCAAGGCAGGAAGGTTGGAATTCAAGCCTAGCCTCGGCAACTTAGCAATTCAGACCGTCTTAACAAGCCTTCCTTCACATTGGCCTTCATGAGTAAGAGCTAAAAATGGATCGTTTACTAACAAAGACACCCTCACAAAAATTTTTACTGTATAAGAATTGCATAATCAGTAGGAAGGTTCATCATCACCTCTAGGCCTGTTTCCTTATCCTAAGCCAAAGGTGGTCAGCCTTTTACATGCTCGACACTCCCAGCCACAGTATGACTTACTATGGCTCCAAATCAGCAGTTTTGAGTTTTGCTTAGACAGGTCATTCACACTATGAACCCCAGTCTGGCCTCCTGCCTCAGCTTCTGACTGCTAAGATTATAGGCATGAACCTCCAACCTTGCCAGCAGTTTTCTTTTTCTTTTTTCTGAAACAGGGTCTTGCTATGTAGCCAAGGTTGGCTTTGAACTTGCAGTGCTCCTCCTGACTCAGCCTCCCAAGTGCTGAGATTACAAGAGTGGACCATCATGCTTAACTCCACCTGTAGTTCTTAATTAGAAGTTATAGTATTTTGAAAAAGTCCTACAATTACTAAGAAATATATTCCCACCCCAATGAAGGCTAATAAGCTAAGTACAAAGATAAGGGACCCTAGGCCCAGAGATCTGAAATGCCAGGTCTCAAATTTGCACTAGTTGATGTTTGCTTCTTCACAATACTTTCCTATATTTTTCAACTGAACTTCTAAAGGGATTACAGTTAAGGCCACACCCCCACATCAACTGGTCCCTGGGGCCCTGTACCCATCCCCTCATTACCATAGCAAGTCCGTCTCCAGCCGCCATCTCCCCAGAGCCAATATGGGTCAGATGGACAAAATTCATTGGTTCCCCAATCATGGTCCGGTCAATCCGCCTTCTCTTCTTCTGCTTAGAGAAGATAAAGAGTCATGTCTGGAGACTCCTCCTCAAATCACAGTAGAGGAAGAGAAGAGTCCTAAAAGCCACTAAGGAAAGGAAAGTGCTAAGGGCTTAGTGGAAACAGGGGATGTGGTATAACAACAGGGAAACCACTAGGGTATGAAAGCAGAGCTGAAACAGCGAAGGGCACAGATCATTCTGGAGAGGGCAGTGGCCTGCAGGGTGAATACTGCACAAAGAGAGGACATGTCAGTCACCTCTGGCTGATGAAGAAACAATGGGGAAAACAGACAGGTACTATGGTCCACTTATAACTCAAAATGAACAGGAGGTAAAGGCCTGGACTATTCAATTTTTCCACCTCCCACTGCACATACATCTGCCTGGACACAGAGACCTTTTCCTGACAGAAGGAAGGCAGTGTGCTTTTTTCAAGGCAGGTCCCAGAAGGTATGTGCACTTCATAGCACGCGCTAACTCATTTTGGGGGGTGGTTGAGGGAAGACTCACTGGTTGGGGTTTCTCGACCACACAGCATCCCAGTTTGTGCCAAAATTCACTCATAGTCCGTGACGGTGCCAGCTTCAATATCCTGCCCGAGGCCCCAGAGGGCTCTTGCTCTGGTGCTCTGACGCCCCCTCTTCAAGCTCCTGCTGAAACCGCACACTTGGTCCACTCAGCTGGAACCCTGGGGACCCTCAGGTGAGCAGTGTCTCAGAGACTAACAGGACCACAGGAAACTGGGCTCACAAAAGGTTATGTCTTCCTCAGATTTGAACCTTGAATTAGTAAAGAGAAAAGTTCATGAGAGTACACACATGCCCCAATCTTTAAGAAGCTTCCTTCTTGATAAGCCATTTTTCCAGTTCTCTCCTAGAGGCCCAAATCCTTTACCTCAACATCAATCTTGCTGAAGGGCTAGTCAAATAGCTCAGTGGATTACAGCACCTGCAAGGAGGCACAGGGGCCAGGGGTTCAATCCCCAGGCCTGATGTGCTGGCCCTGCACGAAGGAGTGTGCTGAGACAGCAATTTGAGACTGGGCGTGGTAGCACATGCCTGTAATCCCAGCTCTTGGGGAGGCTGTAAACAGGCAGATCACCAGGAGTCTGATCTAGCAGCAAGACTCTGCACACCCTGTAGACCCTTCCTTAAAATATAAAAAAAAGGGGGGGAGGGACAAAAACACCCAAATATAGGAACCTAACAGTTTTGACTCAGAGAAAGGAAAAGAACCAAAAGGCTACTGTAGGGTAGGGGTCAGAAGATGGGCAAGTCCCATAACAGAAAGAAACAATCTTTGGGGGTGCAACAAGCTCCAGCTCCCTGGGTTTAGGGCAGAAGGGGAGGGGCATTTAAACATTCTAAAGAGGAAATAGTGGTTTTTCTGTTCTCACAAACAAGGCCTCCACCCTGTTTCTCCCTTTTCTCACCTTGCCCTGAACACCTAAATTTTCTTTGAGATCACTGAGGTCCTAGGAGAAACTAGTTGTAGAAGGCTGAACCTCAAGGAAGTCTTTGTACAGTGAAAAAATTTTCCCTCTCAATTCAGTGCTCTCGTTCCTCATTGCTTTCAACTGAGATCCAACCACTCCCAGAAGCCATTTAGCAGCTCCTTTATTACCTGACCTTGAGATTCTCCCTGAAGGCTCTGTACACTGTGTCCTGTGTTGATGCCCCCATGTGTGTGCATATTTGCACAGACAGCAGTGCACATGGACAGGAACACGAGTGTTTCTGTACCAATCATTTTCCAGCTTCCCCACCCTCTTCACAGGTCCTATCGTGCAGCTCTGCCCCGCCTCACATGCTGTAGGGGCCAGGGCCTTCCCTCCTTTCCTCATGTTGCAACCTGTACTCTTCTCTCCTCACCATTTCCACCAAACTGCACCAGCCAACCAGACACAGGAACTTTCCTGTGTCATAAATGTCCAAGGAAGAACTTTGTTCTTTCTCATTACTGCCAGCCTGATTCCTATATTTACGAGTCCTGTAGTGCAGAACATCTCAAAGGTACCAACAGCACAGCTTTGTTAATTTTATTTTCTTTCAATTTTTGAGATAGTGTCTCACTATGCAGTTCAGGCTGGTCTTGAAATCATTATGTAGCTCAGGCTGGCCTCAAGCTCACGAGTATCCTCCTGCCTCAGCCTGCCAGAGTGCTGAGATTACAGGCGTGCACAGCCCAGTCCAAGGTGAACTTTAAACAGGAATATGAATAGCCCAGGGTCCTGGGGTTCTGGCATCCCAGACTGACCAAAACACCGTTTTGTTATATAAATGTGTTTTAGCAGTCTTGAGATAAATCAGGCAAATACAGCTTCTAGGGGAGTCTGGGTTTTCCCTTCCTGTTCCGCCCTTGGAAGGGCAGAGTAATCAGGCCGGAAGTCAGAACACAGCTGTCCAGAGAGGGGAGCTGTGGTCAGTGGGGAAGCTAGTCAGTCACACAGTTTGTCCTGATGGTGGTGGTGGTGGCAGGTGGTAAGGGCTGGAGGGAAGTGGGGAAAACAATGAAGAATCAGAGGAAACCCCCAACACCACCAGACAGTCTGTACTGAGTGGACAGTGCATTCCCCCTCAGCTCAAAGATGAGTGGACAGGGGTGGCTGGTGCTGGGAGGAGAGGGGAGGGGAGCATGGGAGCGAAAGGGGCAGTGGAAGGAACAAGGACCTTTCTGTTTCTTTTCCAGGGACCTAACCAGGGCTGGGTGGAGGGAAAGTGTGTGTGGGACTTGGCAAGAAATGTCCAATGAGGAGAAGTGACCAGGAAATTCCATTCCCTAGGACATTAGGGTCTCTGAAACTCAGGGGTGGAGTCAGGGCGTGAAAAAGCAGGACAGGGCCAATGGGTGGAGGGCTGGGCTTGAGGGGGGAAGGGGAACAGAGCCAAAAAAGGAAGTAAGAGCGACAGACTGTCACTCTCTTTTAAACGGGCCAGAGAATTGAGGAAAACTCAAAAGTCCTGAGCTGGTAAGCAGAGTTGGGAGAGGTGCCAGAATCCACTGGACACTATTTCAACTGTACAGGTCTACAGCCAACAAGAGGCACCCAGGATTAGACAGCATAAGGCCACATCCCAAAAGCCAAATAACGCTAGGACTGGGACCCATCTTGGGCCCAAATGAAAAATACAGAACTGGGAAGAACCCCCCAAATCTCGCTGGAACCAAGGTCACGCTAGGGCTCAAGAGTCCCAAGCTGTTGGGGGCTGCCAGGAGAGAGAATGGCGGTCGACCCAAGCCCGGAAGGATGTACATAGGTAGTTCCTGGGTCCTGTGGTAGCCTCAAACCGGTTTTCCCGGTCCCGCGGCCTTCCGCCCCACGGCCTCCAACCCGCTGCCTGACAAGCCTTCACAAGAAGCAGCTGCGAAGAAAGAGGCGCAGAACTGAGAAAGGAGTGGGCCATTCTGGCTGTCAGCCCAGGCATGCAGCTGGCCCCTGCTTGGAGACCCCAAGCCTAGGAACGGGACTGGATCCCATATGCCAGTCAAGTGACATGCACTTGCCCAGCGCCAACCCTCCCCCTCCCCAGGAAAGGTCTAGTAGGGTTGAGCGCAAAGAATTAGGCCCTGGGCTTTCCCTTCCTCAAGATAGTCGATCAACCCCACCCTGACGTTCTCCGAGCCTCCTAACCTTCAACTAGGCCCGGGACCTCTCTGTGACCCCTCGGACTCAGTCGCTGCGCTCCGCGTCCGCCCCAGGCTCCGAGGGAGGCGCTCCCGGAACCAAGTCCCAGCGCCCGGTCCAGCACACGCCGTCAACGGGGTCGTCTCGGTTCGGGCAGCCTGGTCCCTCCCACTCCCCCGCTCCGGCCCGGCCTCCTTCCGCTCCCCAGCGCCCTCGCGCAGCAGCCTCCCCTCAACTCCGCATCTCTGCAGCCTCGGCCGCCGTCCTCGTCCTCCCTACCCCCAGCGTCCGTAGCGTCTCCATCAGGTCCGCAGCGCGCACAGCGGTCTAGCCGCGCTCCCCGCCTGCCTCACCTACTCCTCCCGGGTCGCCAGGCGTCCCGCGTCGCTGGACTGCACCCGGGCTGCAAGGCGCGCTGTGAGCTTCTAGGCTTTCTCCGCGGCGCGGCTAGAAAGCCAAGCGCTGTGCGGCAGGGGTGGGGCGGGCCGAGGGCGGAAACGGCGGCGACGTGATTACGAAACTCGCCGGCGGCGGGCGCGCGCACTGCCTCCGCCCGCTGGCTCTGTGCGGCGCGCGCACGCGGGCACGCGCTTGTGCCGCGCCCGGGCAGACGACCCCGGGCTTGGGGACGCTTCTGCGAGGGCCTGGCGCAGAGCCCGGGCGCCCTACATCTCATGTGACCTCCGCGCGCCAGGCATCGTGGGGTGGGGGCGAGGCCCCGACCTAACCTAATTCCAAGGCGCAGGAAGCACCCTCCCCAATCTCTTCCTATTGTGAGGGCGGGGAGGGGAGGTGGGAGTAGGGAAGGCGGTAAAAGAAGATAATTTTTTTCTTCAAACACCAAATAAGTGACCTGAATTCCTCACTTTGGGAACAAAATGACACTCCTGTATTCCATTGCTTAGAGTCAAGAGTTTTGACCGATGAATCTAAATCAGGACAATGCATTCTGTGCTCTCCGATCAGCATGGGGGCTCGGAAAGCGATCTCGGGAATGATGGTCGGACCAATAAGCCTATGGAGGTGCCTCGAGCCCCCCCCACCCCGGGTTCCGGAACCTATCGTTTGAATTAGCCGAGTCAGACAGGGAGGGGGCGGGGAGTCCTCCCGCCCTCCTTAGGAGGGGCTGCATTGCAGGGGGAGACCGATCCGGCAGACTGAGTCACTGAAGTCCAGGGTGTGAGAAGACAAAGCCATCAAAGCCCCAACGGCGTCCTTTTTCTCCAGCCCTGAGCAGATCCTGAGACCCTGAAGTATTCTCTCCATCTTTGGAACGCGCTAGTAATTCATTGATAACAGGTAAACTAGACTGGGGGTGAATGGGCAGGGGGATGCAGGGGTAGAACGCAATTTTTTTCTGCTCAAAGACCCCAAATAAGATTGAGGTGGGGAACACTTAGAGAAGGGGGCGCTATGAACAATGGATAGCGATTTGTTCCCAGATTGACATCTCTTTACTAAGATCTCCACCCATGCCTTATCCTGTACCTATTCATTAATTTCTAAAAACTTACATGTAATTATTTCTCAGCACATAGCTGATTTCAAGTATCCATTTTCCTGTGATTTGTTATCCTGCATGTTTAATATCTTCTGTCTAGTCATCTATATCTTTCTTTTCAAGCTGTAATTTTTATTAGTTCTATGGTGATTCTTTCGTCCTACTGTATCTCCCTGGCCACTATATCCCTGTATTTTCCTTTTTTTTTTTTTTTCTGTAGGATTCCATTTTTCCCTGTGGGGTGGAATCATGAGGGGTGAGATATAGGATAATATTGAGAATAATCCTGATATTTGGGGTCTCTTCTCCCTCCCTACCTCAAATATTTGCTCCAAAATGAGGTAGGGAAGGTGGTAGCCTCTTGTGTCTAACTGCCCGATCCCATACTGAAATTGGTACAACTACATGAGCTCCAACCACACAAGCTGTTAATGGGAGCAGATTCTTAGTTGCTGGGTAGAATAAGTGGAAGAAAGTCATGGCCAGTAGGAAAATTCAAGCACAGAGGGAGGCAGACATGGTATACCAAAACGCATTCATGCCTCCACCCCACCCCCACCTCCCACTCCCGTGGTGGCAGCATGACACAGCAAGACCCTGTTGAGGCCTTGATGCCTACAGAGGGTCTGGACAAAGGATATTTGGGTATGTCCATGTGGGTTAGAAAAGTGCGTATTTTTTAATCTGTTATATTAGTCATGTATTTCTAAGAAAAGACAATGATATTTAGAGATTAGCTTTGACTAAAATAGCTGGGTAATTTTAAATTAAGGATAGTGGGAAGCAATTTTTGAGTCCATATGGTGCAAGACCAAACCGTTTCAGACAAGTAAATAACATGTAATGAACAGATGAGATGAGATGTGGGTGGAGAACAGGAGGAACGGAAGGAACTGAAGGAGAAGCTTGCTGATAAGCCACTTGCAAATCTGGATGGCTTTGAAATTAAACCTATAGTATATTAAATACAAAATTCCATTAATATCTTTACCTTAATAGTCTTATAGTTTAGCTTCAAATTTCTGTGTAGTCTTCATTATGCTCTTGACTTGATTTTAAGGCCACAAATGTTTGTATACGAGTCTGTCTAGAATGTATTTGGTACTCTCTACATTCTGTGGGTCTGTGGCACAGCTAGGGATTTCAGGCCCTTTGAGTTAATAGTTCACAAAATTTCTTTTGAATTTTTTAAATTGCAAAATAGTTCCATCAGGGGCTGGTGAGATGGCTCAGTGGTCTGGAGCACCTACTTAGAACAAGCTAAGCTAAGCAAAACACAGGGACCGCGGTTCAATCCCCCAGCACCACATGCCAACCAGCCCGCCCCCTGGTGGGCTGAGCTGGCCATACACAAAATAAATAAATAAATATTAAAAAAAAAAAAATAGTTCCATCAGACACTGTTCAGGCAGTTTTATACGTAACCAGTTGCAAGAAGAGCCAATTTGTCAAAGAGCTTTTTCGCTTTTCTTATATTCTAGCTCAATGTACTACATTTTACATTTTCACTACTTAGGTGAGAATCACAGGAACAGTTAACACCTGCCTATGGGATATCTCTTTTTTTGTTTTTGTATTTTTAAGAAAAACATCTTTGTAACAGATGGAGATCAAACCTAGGACCTAATGCATGCTAGGCAAGTATTCTACATTCCCAACCCCAGAACATCTGTTCTTCAAGAACTAGAACCTCATCAGATATGGTGGTGCGCACCCATAATCCCAGTCTGAGTAAGAAAGATTGCAAGGTCCAGGTTAGCCTCAGCCACAGAGCAAGCCCGTCTCAAAAAAAAAAAAGGAAAGAAAGAAAGAAAAAAACAGAAAAGGGCTGGGGAGGGAGGATTGGGGAGGTAGGTAGCTCAGCCGCTTACGTGCCTCCCTGGCAAATGCAAGGTCTTGAGTTAGATCACTGCTACCAAAAAAACCAAACCAAACCAAACCCAAAGGGAAAAGAAAACCTAAAGTCCCATAAAATTTGAGATAAGTAAAGAAAAATCAAGAAGTATCATGTATTAGGTACAAACTTATAATGAACATGATTATGGGGCCGGGGAGATGGCTCAGTAGAATAAGCGCTTCCCTGGCAAGTGCAAGGGCCTGAGTTCAATCCCCAGTTCCGCAAAAAAAAAAAAAAAAAAAAAAAAACATGATTATTATATCTAAAGTGCACCCATAATATTTTTTTTAATTGAGACTTTTGGGACACAATTATATGAAACTTAGGCAAAGACTGAGGACTATGAGACTTAGGTTTATATAAACTGGCTAGAAGTTTTCACAAATCACTAGATAACTTCAGGTTGGTCTAGTTCTTAAATTGAATGATTTTTTTTCTCCTTATGATTTCGTTTTTGTGGGGCTGGAGATTTAGCTCAGTAGTAGAGTGCTTGCCTAGCAAGCTGGAAGCCTGGGATTTGGTCCTCAGCACCAAAAACAAAAAATAAACAACCCTAAAAAACAATTACAGGGGGCTGAGGAGATAGCTCAGTAGATAAGCACTTGCCTGGCGAGCACAGGGCCTGAGTTCAATCCCTAGTTCTGCAAAGGGAAAGAAAAAAAGAGAGAGAGAGAGAGAGATTCTTTTTTAAAGAGCCCATTATGTACCCAGCATTATATATACTAAGGTCACTCTGGGAGAATTACCAGGGAGATATAAAAGAAGGCAGCTGGCTGAGGGAAAAGCTGGTCATACAGTAAACTGTCCTAGTAGGCAGAGTCAGCAATACCATCGAGTCTGAGGCCTCTTAGGCTCTCCACAGCCCCAGACCTAAGTGGGGATTGGTTGGTTCACAGATACAACTATTTTTCTATCTCTTTCCTGTGCACAAGTCTCTGCAAATTACTGTGAAGGTGATGGGAGCTGAGTATTACAGTATGGTGACCTCACCTTTCTAGTGTTACCATCCCATCCCCCATCATCCTCGGAAGCAACTTCTCTCTCTGCTGAGTAATGCTTAGTTCCCAGTTTATTTTGGAGCTTGAACCAAAGAAAAGAACAGTTCACAATTAGCCTACCCACTCACCACTCCTAAAGTCCCCCTATTCTCACACATTACTGCATTCTAGATTAAAGCTTGCTTGCTTTTTTTCCTCTGGTAGAGGAGCATTTGGAGCTTATTTACGGCTACTATTTAGTATTAATCTTTTAAAATGTATTTATTTTTATTTTTTTGGCGGAAACGGGGATTGAACTCAGACCCTTGCACTTGCTAGGGAAGCGCTTATTCCACTGATCCATCTCCCTGGCCCCTATTAGTCTTTTTTTTAGGGAAGGATCAAACTCAGAGCCTTGTGTAGGTCAGGCAAATGCTGTACCACTGAGCTACATTCCCTGCATCAGGCTATTTAGGAATCACAGGTCTGGTGAGAACCCATAGGCCTGGTAAGTGCTGGAGAAAGGCTTTCTGAAACTTAGGGTTCTTAATTCTGAAGGCACTAGAATGTTTTTTTTGTTTGTTTGTTTTGATGAGAACATTTCAACTAAGACTTCTTGCCCCCCTCCTTTGGCTGGTAAATTAGGAGGGAGGTTCATGGAGCTCTAAGTCAGAACATCAAGCAAGGTTTAGGTAGGATCAACAGAAGCTACTCATTAAAGTATGGTAAAGAATCTCCTTACACTCTAGACTTCCCTTTGCCTGGAATTTCCACCCCCGCCCACACTCCCTACAATTTTCTTTTCTTTTTCTTTTCTTTTTTTTTTTTTTTGGTATTTTAGGGAAGGGTCTACAGGGTGTTCAGGGTCTCACTACTAGATCTGACTCATAGTGATCCGCCTGTTTACAGCTTCCCAAGAGCTGGGATTGCCAGCACACCCGGGATGGAACCCCTGACCCCTGCACCTGCTTGTAGGCACTGTAATCCGCTGAGCTATTTGGCTGGCCCAAGAGATAGTCTCGATAAACTCACTAGTTAGCTCAGATTGGCCTTGAATTCTCAGGGATCTTCCTGCCTCAGCTTCCCTAATGCTGGGATGACAGGTAAAGGATACTACACCCTGCTACCCAATGCATTTGCTCTCATTATTATCAAGTATACTCTAGCATTAGGATTAGGGGAGGTCCTGTTACCACATAGAAAAATTTTTCTAGCACCTGGATTTGGTTTTGAAGAGGTAGGTTAGAGAGAAGTAGATTAGTAAGATTATCTGTTAACAAATAGATGAATGGTAAGGTACTCATTATATTAAATACTGAGAAGGCTGGGGAAATAGCTCAGTGGTCTTAGCGTGTGCCTGGCAAGTGCAAGGACCCAGGTTCAATCCCAGGTATCACATGCCTATAATCCCAAGGTTGGGGAGGCTGAGATGGGGATCACTAGGAGTTCGAGCTGCATAGTGAGGCCCTGTACCAAATTTAAAAATAAAATAATAGAAAAGAAATACTGGGGCTGGAGAGATGGCTCAGTGGTCTAAAGCACCTACTTGAAACAAGCTTGGCAAAGCACAGGGACCGCGGTTCAATCCTCCAGCACCACATGCCAGCCAGCCCCGCCCCCTGGTGGGCTGAGCTGGCCACACACACACACACACACACACACACACACACACACACTAAATAAATGTAATAAATAAAAATAAATAAATATTAAAAAAAAAAAGAAATACTGGGAAAATTAACTAGCTGGCTTTGAATGTCTATATGCAAAACCTAAGCACCCAGAAATCATATTAGGTTTTTTTGTTGTTGTTTTTGTGACACCAGAGATTGAACTCAGGACCCTGTGCTTGCCAGGCAAGCACTTATTCTACTGAGTTATCTCCCCTGCCCTTTTTTTTCTTTTTGAGACAGGATGTTGCTAGCCTTGAGCTCACTTTGTAGCCCAAGCTGGCCTTGAAACTCACAATGATCCTCCTACCTCAGCCTCCTCTGAGTGCTGGGATTACAGGTGTGCACCACCACACATCCAGCTACCAGTTTTATCCTTAGGAAACTTCCAGTCTGTTGAAGAAGACTATCCTACATCAACACATTGTTAGTTGCCTGTAACTGCAGAGTGATGGCATTAAGCCAAACCCTGCAGGGTATTGGGAGAAATAGAGGAAACAGGGTAGACAGCCAAGTAAATTTTGCGAGGTGTGGTGGCACATGCCTATAATTCCAGAATTCAGGAGACTGAGGCAGGAGGATCATTTTTGAGTCTTAAAAAGATAAATAAGGGCTGGGGAGATGGCTTAGTACAGTAATTGCTTGCCTGGCAAGCATAAGGGCCCGAGTTCAATCCCCGGTTCTGCACCAAAAAAAAAAAAAAAAAAAAAAAAAAGATAAATAAGGGGTCAGGAGATAGCTCAGTAGAATAAGCACTTGCCTGGCAAGTGCAAGGTCCTGAGTTCAATCCCTGGTACTGCAAAATAAATAAATAAATAAGAAAACATCAAAAGCAAGCTGGTTATAGTGGCACAAGACTATGCACAGTACTCTGGGAGGGTGAGGCAGGAGGATTTCAATTTGGAGCTCAGTGATTTAATGGATTCCTATCTCAAAAAATAAGAACTGGGATACAGTTCAGTGAAAAGGCCCTGAGTTGAACCCCTGGTACCGAAGAGGTAAAAATAAAGGCCAGGAGCCAGAAGGAGGTTGCTTTAATATCAAGACTGACACGTGGTTTCTTTCTAGGAAGCTATGAGGGACCCCGTGAGTAGCCAGTACAGCTCCTTTCTTTTCTGGAGAATGCCCATTCCAGAACTGGATCTGTCTGAGCTGGAAGACCTGGGTCTGTCTGATACACCCACCCACAAGAGCAAGGACAGCAGCGCTGGCAAAATGACTGGGAAAGCGACCGGAGCAGAGCAGGAGAAAAACCCTGAAGGTGACATCCTCCTTGAGTACAGCACCTTCAACTTCTGGAGAGCTCCCATTGCTAGCGTCCACTCCTTTGAACTGGACTTGCTCTAAGGCCGAGACTTCTCCCACCACCTTGTCCTCATTGTCTTCCCTTTCCACCTCCTTCCTTCCATCCCTTACCATTTTAATCTTGTTCTCTTGCCTGTAGTGTTGGTGGTGCTGATGAATCTGCCTGCTGAGTTGTATTTATTTATTTATTTATTTATTTATCTATATTTATTCATCTCTTTATCGATCTACTCCATTCCTTTCAAAAATCCTCAAGCCACAAAATAGGGGCTTAAGCAATGGAGTACTGGGTCACAGGAATTCCGCCACACTCCTACCCTGAGATTATCAACTTCAGAAATGGAAGGCTGAGTTTTTTTTTTAATTACATTTTAATCAGCTTCGAAGATTGCTCAAACCTTCCTAACTTTTTGTTTCAGGCCAGTAAATATAAATATTTCTTAAAGGGTTGGCAAAAATCTTCTAAGTTTTAGGGCTAGGGAGATAGCTCAGTGGCATAAGTGTCTGCCTGGCAAGTGCCAGGTCTAGAGTTCGATCCCCAGTAACACACATGCACAAAAAATCAAATTTTAATTTGAGATGACTTATTACAAAACAATTTCTAAAAGGCTAAGATGATAAGACTGTTGCTTTTTCAATCTTATTCCAGTGGGTTGAGGATATAGTTGAGTAGTACAGTGCCTGTGAGGCAAGTACAAGGTCCTGAGTTCAATTCCCAGTACCAAAGAAAAAAAAAAAA